GGGGGGGGGGGGGGGGGGGGGGGGGGGGGGGGGGGGGGGGGGGGGGGGGGGGGGGGGGGGGGGGGTAAGTGCATGTTAGGTCCATCGCGCCTCGGCGGAGGTTGTTCCTCGTTAATTCCTCGTGTGGAAAAACAAAAAGTTGAGCGCTGTTGCGTGGCGGTGCTGTGGGGTCGGAATAAGTGCTGAAGTTCTAAAACGAGTCAATTCCAGTGCTCTGTTGGGCCACGGGCGTGTTGCTAGTGCGTCAGAATCGAGTGTAGAGCAGTTCGGCCGGCTCGCGCTGTTGCATGTTTATAGTGCCTTCCATTTGTCTGAAAAGGGATGGGTCGTATGCCCCCATATGTCTTATTTTCTAAAAAACAATTGAAGTCGTGGTGTTTGCTCAGACCGGCAGCTACCTGCAGCACCGGCGAAGAGAGCGGAGTGGAAAAACAAAACATCCTACCGCACCGACTCATGAGTTACACCGCTGTAGTGTGAAGCACAATAACCGTATCTATTCATAGACGTACTCAACACTGCTGGTGTCGACTAACCTCGATCGTAGCATCCAGAAGCCGCTCCATCTCTCGATCTCGGCACTTCTCTACCGGTGTACGATACTGTACAGAGGCGTCACATTCGAGCGGGGGTAGGGTCATTGCCGTCGTCGGTTTGGCAAAAAGAAAGGTGTCTACCGTACGTGGCAGTGGCGGCGTGATTGGCGCGTTCTCATACCAGCGTACAAACGCAACAGCCACCAGGACCAGTGGTACCACTCTATCCGACACCCAAGCCGCAATTGACTCCTTTCTAACCAAATACATGAGTCGTAATAAGCTACCAAAAAAAACCCGGCAACGCCAAGACGAAACGACGACAAAAGAACCGTGAGGGATGTTTGCACATGAACATCCGCATACGAATTTCTTCTAAAAAACAAGCAAACAATTGAAGCAGATACAAACGATGCACACAAGTTCACTAATGCGATACATTATTCATTCACCTTCTTCCCAAACATCTGGTGCAGCGCCTTTTGCCTCTCACGCTCACGGAGAAACGCCTCCTGCTCGCTTCTCTCCTGCTGGGCGAAGCTCTGACGGTCCCGCACGGTGCGCTCGTATGCTCTCTCATCGGCCGCGATAGCCTTCGTGGGAAATCGGGTATCGCGGATGGGATGGCGGGGTGGGGTGGGGGGGGGGG